GGGAGAGAGTAACCAAAGAATTTATATGCATATATACACAACCCAAGGACATGGACAATGGTGGGGAGAGGGACTGGGGAGGGGGAAAGAACGGGGTGGAATGGATCATTGGGGAGAAAAAGGGACATCTGTAGTATTTTAAACAAAAATAAAATTAAAAAAAGAAAAGAAAATGTAGGATAAAGGTTTCTTGAAGAAGGAGAGGTGGGATTTAAAATACAGGCAGAACCCGGCTGAGGATGGCTCAGTGGTTGAGCGTCAACCTAGGATCCAGGTGATCGGGTTTCGATTCCCAGTCAGGGCACATGCCCGGTTGCGGGCTCAATCAATGACTCTCATCAATGATGTTTCTATCTCTCTCTCTCCCATTCCTTTCCTCTCTCTGTAATCAATAAAGATATATTTAAAAAATTTTAAAAAAATTTAAATAAAATATAAAATAAAATACAGGTAGAGAGATTAGTCTTACCTGTATTCATAGTAAGATGGGCCACCATTTCCTATGAGATAGCAAGGAAGGAGACACAAAAACGGTTGGTAAGGATAGTAGTGAAAAATGAGAGCTATCCTTCATTTTTCCATGAAGAGATATGCTTATATGTGCTTATAGAGAGGGGAGTAACAGTGGAGTAGCCAATATGAAAGGTACAAATTAGGAATAGCTGCTGTGTGGACAGCACCCAAACAAGGACACATAAAATGACTGCTAAGTAGCCCTAAGACTACAGAACTACAGCTAAGATCAAGGACCATAAACCTGTGATAGTACCAATTAACATAGCTATGGAATCTATTTTTATTATTATTATTATTATTGATTTCAAAGAGAGGAAAGGAGAGGAAGAGAGAGCTAGAAACATCAATGATGAGAGAGAGTCATTGATCGGCTGCCTCCTGCACGTCCCCTACTGGGGATCGAGCCCGCAACCGAGGCATGTGCCCTGACCAGGAATCGAACCCTGACCTCCTAGTTCATAGGTCGATGCTCAACCACTGAGCCACGTTGGCTGGGCTATGGGATCTATTTATTTGTAGGAATGGTTAGTCATTAGGGTGTAAGAGCAGCTAATGTAGAGAATGACTGGGATTAGCAGTGCAGGTACAGTGGAAGGATAAAGGGCAAGGTGGAATGGATGAGGCTCTATGCTACCGGGTTTTGGCTAGATAGAGAATGTGAGAAAATGTAGAAAAAGAGGGTTTAAAACTATATAGGTCTCCATAGAATAAAAGAACCAGGATAGATGGAATGAGTGTGAGAACTGGCATATAAAAGCTCAAAGAACTATTGGTGCAGTATTCAATAGACTGAATAAGGACATTCAAATCTCCTGGGATGATAGGAAGAATCAGGATGGAGAGAAAGGTAGTAAGGCCATTCACAAAGTCCTTAATGGAAAAGGGAGAGTAACTAGAAGAGGTACAGAGTAGTATGGCTAAATGAAATAGACCTGAAAGGAGGAAGGAGTTTTGTAAGGAGCAAGGGCTATGGCCCTGAGGTTCATGAGGTGTGAGAAAATAAATAACCTTTATAGTAGAAAGTACAAAAGAAATGACATTCCTAGAAGGATGTTTAGGTTGCAGGTAAGACAAGAGTTAGAGAACTCTGGAAAAGTTTCTCAATCTTTTTAACTTCTCAGTTAACCAGACGCCTCAGGTAATACCAGAGTCCTGAAAGTAGCAACTACACTTTTCTTAGGGTTCCAAATGGAGTGAAAAGTTACTGGTATATATGAAAAGACGTTCAATTTCACTAATGAGGAAAAAAATACAAATTAAAACATGACATAAAATGCACCACCTCTCATACCTGGAAAGATTAAAAAGATTGATGATAATTATTACTGGCAATGTGGAGATATAGGCATTGCTGGCGGGAATGGAACCTGGTGCAACTTGGAGGGCAATTTGGCCCTGTCTAGTTAAAGTTTGAAGTATTCATACTCTTTGACTCAGAAAATCCACTTCTAAGAATGTTTACGCATATAAAGATACATGTTCAAGGGCATTTGATGCAACAATGTCTGTATTTGTAAAAAAACTGGGAATAACTGAATTGCTCATTAACAGGAGGCTGGTAAATTCACACAAAGAAATATGATATAGTCTTTGAAAAGAGTGAAGTAGTACTGGCTGAACTGATCTGGAAAATGTCACTGTACATTAAGTATAAAATGTTAGATGCAGAACAATATGCATAGTATAATCTCATTTTTACAGAGTAGTAATAATATGTTTATATGTTAAAAAGCTCTAGAGCTGTACTGTCCAATATGGTAGTCACTAGACACAAGTGGCTATTTAAATTTAAATTCACCAAGAATAAATAAAATTTAAAATTCAGTTTCTGTTTCACTAGCCACATTTCCAGTGTAAAATTTCCACATATGGCTAGTGGTTAATGTATTAGTACAGGTCTAGAATATTTCCATCATCACAGAAGTTCAAATAGTGCTGATTTAGAGGCATACAGATTAAACTATTATAACAATGATGTGTATGTTGTGGAGAAAACTACAGGGAACATTCACATTTGATGGTATATATTTCTGAAATGTTTACTTCTTTGATAATTTATATGTACAACTTTTGTAATGAGAAAAAATAAAGATAATGAAAGAGAAAAAGAGGGAGGGGTACTAGAGGTTTTTGAGAACAATAAGGAGTTCACTATTGCTGGGCTTATGAGCAATGGAGAACCTTTGGAGGATTTGAACTTAAAGTGACATTATCAAATGTATTTTTAGAAACAATTTGGTAGCCAACTTGGGGAATAATTAAGAAAAATGCAAATTAGTAAACAAAACAGTCATGGGGATGGAAAGGACAGCATAGGAAATATAGTCAATAATATTGTAATAACTAAGCATGGTGCCAGTGGGTACTGGAAATAACAGGGGAAACACTTTGTAAAGTATATGATTGTCCAATTACTATGCTGTACACCTGAAACTAATACAAAATAATATTGAAAAACTATAATTTAAAAAAATTAAAATTTTAAAAAATAATTAAATAAAAATAAATGTGGCAAATAATAAAAAAGTAAACAGGTTAAGTAATTATTATAGTACTTTAAGCAAGGGATGATAAATGTCTTAACTAGGGAAATAACAGTTGAGGCTGGGAAGAATGAATAGATTTGAGAAATACTTCTGAGGTAGAGCTGATAGGAGTAGGCAATTGCCAGATGGAGGGGAAGAGGGAGAATTCAAGGCTAAGTTTTCAAGCTTGGGATAAGGGGCAGGTGGTGCTGGAGATGGGGAGCACAATTTAATTATACAATCTGAAGTCTATCTTTTTCAGCCACTCATTTTAATTCAACCAATATTTATAAGGTTGTACTGTCTATCAAATTGATCCCTCTGATCCATCCTCACTCTCTGGCATAATGAAGTCAGTCTGAAAGGGAATGCAGATAAATATACGGGTATAGGGCATCTGAAAAAGGAACAGCATGAAGAATGGTTAGAACTGGGCTTGAAACAACCAAGAGGGTCACATAGAAAACATTAATAACATACTATAATAAAAAGTATGGACAATAGGACTAGGAAAGTGGAAAGCATTAGGGTTGGATATTTAAGGCTAATTACATATACTCTTCAAACATTTTAAGCCAGAGGCTATATATCTCATTACCTTCAACTAAGAAAATGACAGCAGAGGGCCAAAAAGTCATTCTCTCCTTTACTTTACTTCTACAAATAATGGGGTGGGATGAAGAGGAAGAGTTTTCATGTAGGAATACATATAAACAAAATGTCAAAATGAGAAAATGTACAGTCCCAATTTCTTCTCTTTTTTTATATCGCATAACAAATGATACAGAGGCCAGGATTCTAGAGGTCAGAAAATAAGTAAGTCAGCATGAATGAGTGATGAAGCCTGCCTGGACTGCATTCAGAGGCAGACCTATAGAAAGAAGTACAAAAAGGTCTACTTTATATTCAGAGTTCTGAATACCCATAGGTACACAAGCTCTGCATTTATTTTACACTCACTCCTACTTCTACTTGACACCTTAGAATCAACACAAAAATACAACAAAGAGTATTTGAGCAGGAAGGACCATTAGAGATCATTTAAGAGTTCAGGGGTCTCTGAAACCCCTGAAATTAAGGTTTATTTTCTGTATGTAGAGCCATATGTACATTTTTCCAGGGGGAGAGGGTCAATAATATTCCCAAAGATTTCTGTGGGCCCCAACAAAATTATACCTTTAGATTCTAGTCTAACCACCTTGATTTACAGATGAAGAAACTGAGGTCCAGAGAAGGAATAAGATTTGCCCAGGGCGCACAGTGAATTAATAGCAGAGCTGAATCTAGGAACTAAGTTTTCTTTCAGTACTCTTTCCACCATGATAAAATGGTACCTCAAGAGATCCCATAATTAAAGTCAGTGCAAGTTCTTAAAAGTCCTGATTATTACCTTTGCAATGAAAATTCCAGCATCCATAATAGCTTTAATGTGTCTCAACCACCCTGAGCTCTCCAGGCCGCTAAGAAATTCACTCATTGTTGGAGTTTTCATTTCACAAACTAAGGTAGAAAAGGAAGCAGAAATTGAAATTCACAATAATCTCAGTTTATTCACCAAGAAACAGGAAAAAGTGGATTCTAATTTTCTAAATGAGGAAGCTGAGGCACAGAAAGGTGAAATGATTAGTCAGGAACCACACAGTGAGTCAGGGACAAGATTAGGGCTAGAGCCTACCATATCTTCCAGATCCAGTTTCTGCTTTCTTGAGGTGTAGAACCCACCCCCAAGCCCACAGAAATCTCTGAAGAGCCAGAAGTATGAGTCAGTATTCACAGGAAAAAACTCACCTCTCCTCTTATTCAAAAACACATTTATTCCTATGTCATCACCCTGGCTCTGTCATCTGGTTTCTACTGTGCATGTGCCAGCATAGGAATTTCCCCTTCTACATCCTCTGCTAATTCAGTACCTGCAGCACCCCCAGGGAGATTTTCCTCTGTTCTGAGAATTAGGTCTCCTCGTGGCAGTCCCCTGGAATATGTGAATGAGTCTATTTATGTTAGTTTCCCAGTAAACTAGATGGAATGATGCCCTGCTACCTGCTTCAGCTTACCAGTTTATTAAGTTTATTCTTTAGCTCCCTTTTGCTTTCTTCCTTATATTAATAACTAGCTACCTACAAGGACATACCCACTCATCTTAACTCTGCAGCCCCTTAACATCTGTCTGTATTCCCACACCCTCACCTACTCCCTGCAGCCCTGTGCAGTCTCAACATATTGGGAGGAGGAAAAGTTAATTTTCATGAATTTTGCACTGGTTAACCAGCAGAGGGCAATCTAATCTTTTGCCTCAAAAAATCTGTAGAAAGTCCTGTTCTCTACACCTATAGAATATTCTGGAACAAAAGAGGGGGAAAAAGGGGGGGGGGATTCAAGGAAAATGGACACTAATATCCTAAATAGGATGCAGACTATGCAGACTGCAGAAACAGAATCTGATAAGGGTCATATAAGGAAGAGGTCTTGGCCTATAACATAAGAATACAATTGAAGAAAAGAGAGGAAGAACAGAGAGCTCATTAAAGAAGGCAGGTTTTCATTATCTCTTCCTGAGTTGACATACCACATCATGGAATCCTGGGTAGTGGCTTTGAGAGAAATGTTTGAGACTCAAGAGTCCTGTAAGGTCCCAATCTCACTGTGCCTTCACTTTGACTCCAATTATTTTTCAGTGATGACAGATGACCCAAACTTTCTGACATTAGCTTCATTCTTTTAAGTCTAAATTCACCCCCTTCATCAGCACAATGGTGAAATCCAACTGACTTCTTACAGTAGATTAGATGAGGTGATTTCTTACCTCAAGGATGATGCAATTAATCCCCGATTCATTTATACTTACGCTGACCTACCCACACCCAAAAATCAGCCTCTGTAATTCCATATAGAGAAATTCTTCCCATAGCAACTAAATCCAGATGGACTCTACCGAGTTATGAAACTGAACATCTTAGTTCCTCTGCCAGACCAAGACTGCTATAATTCATACTATGTAAGCTGAATTCATACTATAGAAAAAAACCTTTTCACCTATTGAACCTGCTCACCTGGTTGTTTTCATGGTCTACCCCAAATCAGGCATACTTTTTGTATATATATTAATGCAAAGTTACGGCCTCTGGCCTATCCAAGGTGAAATCCTTCTACCTTCCAAGAGTTTCTGCAGGCTGCTCCGCATCACATGGATGTTCTCAATGCCCATGAACCTGAAGCGAATGTTGGCATAGTTGTGTTCATTTTCATACCCCTTCCCAGCTGCTCTGTTGGCCATGGCATTCAACTGTAATAATTGAGGAATAATAGAGCAGATTGGGCAGGTGATAAAATAACAGGATTCATCAGTCTCAATGCCTTATTCTAAATAGTTTTAAAATTTACCCATTTAAAAAGAAGTTAAATCAGACAGGGCGCATTCTGGAATGGAGGAAATTTCACTGGTTTTTAGGTCAGATTATCTTGAGTAACAGAGTAGTATAAAGGGAGAGGGAGATTTAGTGTTTTTGTGTTATTACTAAAACCCTGCTTATGAGACTGAAGGATATGGCAGTTATGAGGATATCTGGTCTGAAGAACTGAAATAATTTTAAGTTTCCTATCACAAACAAAAGTTTTCTCTGCTGAAAGGGCTTTATACTGGGAAACGTGAAAGTTCAAAAATCTTTACATCTGAGAAGTTCTACAAAGAAGTCTAAACTTCAGGAACAATGAATTTTAAATAGCTATTCTAGAAAGATGTCTAAAACATGCATGAGATAAATGACTTTCACTCTCTGATAAAATTGAAATGGACATACCAAGACCTGTTTTAACACTATGTTCAGTTTGTGATGATCAGAATATTTATTTCTAGGTCATAAGAAGAATGTTGGGCAGGGTAGGAAGTAAATGAGATGTAATCAGGGGACATTAGTATAATAACTAGAAAAAAGCCAAAATACCTTCTATGATGATAACCATCTTACTAATCAAATAGTTTTCTTTTGTCTGGGCCTGTTTTCTCATCTCCCAGTATTGTGCATTTCAAAAGACAGAAGGAGCATGTATGTGGACAGGGTGTAGTTTTTGTATTAACAGAAGAAAATATCAATAAAACCTCAAAAGCACAAACACTTCACATTAACACATTCAGGGAAAATAGTCTATGTGTCAATATATTCTGTTTAGAATGCAAGATGCTTTTAAAGGGAGAAACATGATGGTAACTTTGATTACTTATCACACAGATAATGTCACTGAGATTTCATTACATTAATAACAATGTCAAAGGGACATCTGTGGAGGTACAAGCAGCAGCCACCTTGTAGCAAGTAAGTTTGCTATGACTGATGAGTGTTTCCGCAAACAAAACAATAATTATAGCAGTATTTATCCAGGTCTGGGCAGCGATAGAAAGGCTAGCTACTGCAGATAGCTAGATACATGGAATCACTATAAAATCTTTGAGAATATGTCTGGCAGATTTGAGTAACAGCTACCTATTAGCAGCCTAATGTTCAAGTAGGGAAGAAATTTAACATTTATTGAGCTCCTAGTATGTACCAGACACTGTGCTAGATCCTTTACTTGTATTATTTCATTTAATCTTCACTAGAACCCCTCAAGATAAGTACTATTATTATTGCCACAAGAAAACAACCTCAGAGAGGTAAACCAAATTCAACCAAAATCATTTTCTACTAAAAATATAGATCTAGCTATCCAGAAGAGGTGGGCTGTTGGATATTTCTAGGCCTTCTGAGGGAGGAAAAAGGGGCCTGTTAAAAGGGCATTTTGGTCTTGGGTTTGGACAAAAGGCACTAATCCTTTAGTTTTTCAAAATCTTGGTATGTTTTCCTTTACCACTTTAAGATATTTAATCTTGATGAAAGATACAGATTTGATTAAACTCTTTGCAATGTAGAATGGCAGATGCAGTTATGGCTGAAGCAAGACAGCAAATTTCAGAGAAACTCAGAGAGTGCCTGAGCAGAAAGAGAAATTATTTTCTCTCTTGAGCCCAGTCAGTTGTAGGTAGCTCTGGAAAGTGAGAGATCCCCAAAATGCAGGCAGCTATCTAAAGGCCACTATCTGATTTCACGCACAGCCAATTGCTCAATTGCGATGCTACAACCCCCTGGCTTAGGCTTAGATCTAAATCTCCAACTTAGGAATCATTAGTTAGCAATAAAACCTCCTAGTCAGCCACACTCCACACATCAAATTACAAGCAAAATTATTTTTTCTGGGGTTACTTGTATAAAGGACATCTTTTAAGAAAAGGGAATCTGTCCTTTACTTATCTCATGGGGCACAATTAATTCTTTGAAAATCCCTTACAGAGCTAGACAAAATACGGAAGGTCAAAGAATTAATGCAAAAAATTTAGGCAGATACTTAGGTTGATCTGAGGACCCTCCTTTCTGTAACATTCACATTGGAAAGGGACAGAACCTGGGAAAACATTATAAATCATGCAGTACCTGGCTCTTGGAAACATGAAACAATTTCTCTAGGCCCATGTTCACTGCCAAAATTCATGGCAAATTTATGTTCCTAGGTTTTTTCCCCCTCTGGAACCAAGATTTAAACTTCAAGTCATTGAACTGGGAAAAAGTTAATCAGTGAATAGTACTAAAAAATTACTGCCACATAAGCTAAAGAATTTTTGTTAGTCATATAGCAGTCACATTTGTGAACTTGACTCCTTCAGGAAACATCAAAGTATTATTAACCTACCATGGTTTAATACATTACTTACAAAATGATATGCTGGTATTAATGTTTCCAGTGTTAAGTTGAAGTGCTTTATCTGATAGTAAATTTATACCACAGAAGAGGTATACTGAAAATTTGATTGATGAATAGATTTAGTGAAAAAGGTGAGAGAACATCATATAGTCTCCAGGCATTCAATATAGAATTCAGATGTCACAAATTCAAGAGATGGCAAAGCCAGGTTGTTCCAAGTGCTTTTGAAAGAATCAAGGATATCTCAAGGTCTTGCTTTACAATGAGTGAAAGGCTACAATAACAGGAGCTCCAAACGGCTTGCTCAAATTGCTCAAATGATTTTATACAATGTCTGACACAATAAGCCCATATATACAAACCTAACTTTCCCCAATAACACTGCAAAGCTCAACAGATAGGGATGGAGATTACAAAATGAGTGAAGTAGGAATATTAAAAAGGTCACTGATACCTTTGGTCTTGTGTCTACAACATACATAAATTGGCTTCCTGGGTTTGTTTGGCTAATAGCCTCTAGCAAGAGCTCATCATCTACGCAGCGAGTATAAAATCCAGACAGAGGCTGGCTACAGCGGCAAATGGCAGCCTGTAAGGGAAAAATGTGTCAGTTGAAGGATCATATGCACAGGTGGTCAAAAATCCTCCTTGATCTCAGGTTCAGTGAGCAGAGAAAGAAGATAAGCCAACACAGAGTAGTGAAGCAAAGAGAGCTGTAACTTTAAAGCCCAGCTGTTCCACTGTCATTGGGCTCAGCCTCCTGCCTCCCCCAGACATGTGGGCTGTGTTACCATAAACTGCTGCTCAGAATAGTCTTTTTTTCCCTTCTACATGGTGAGGATTCTTGACCTAGTCTTGGCAAATGACTATAAGAAAATCTTCCTGAGCACTTCCTTAATAAAATTCTATTCTCAATATGTATTAGGCTAATATTTTTCTGAAACTTCCCTGCTTTTTAGTGTCCCAGTAATATTACCCATATAAATCAGAGACTTGTAGTGGCAGCAGAATTCAAGACTGAACAAAAATTTAGAGTCTTAAGAGAGCAGGGTTTACTCAATGTCAAATCAGAGGGGCTGGTTTGTTTAAAGCCATTTCAATATAAAAATAACATTGCTATTTAGCACATATGTTTGGTAATGATTAGTTAATGAACTGCATTGCACTTCAGTGTGGTTTTTAAGGAGTGTGCTCACTTTGATAGTTTGACATAAAAACACCCACTTGTATCACTATATTATTTAGTACCTGAATAGTTTACCTACTTGAGAAACTATTTGTGTAACTCAGGGACGGGAAATATCCAGCCTGGTCTGGCCCTGCCAAGGGAACTGCAGGAGGGACTTGAAATTCAATAAATCGAGGAGCTTTTTCCATTGCTAATTTTTAAGTTGATAATTTTGTATGGCCTGCAAATGATGTTATAAATACCCAAATGGCCTTTGGCAGAAAAAAAGTTCCCCACCCCTGGTCTAACTCCAGATCTCAGAATGACCACAAGAGGCAAGAACTATTATCCCTTCCTATGGAAGGGGACTCAAACAGAAGGGTCAAAGGTTTTTCCTACTACCTTAAATTATATTAACAGTAGTGAGAGAGAACCAAGGACATCTGTGTTCCAGTGGGAGGCCACAGTCCCCAAATATCCTTTCATTTAACAACTTCCTATCAAGCTGGAGCCCACAGAAAAGGAAAGAAACAAATGAACACACTAAAAATGCCACTTAATATTTGCACAACACTTTACTATTAACAACGTACATAGATATTTTTCTCTGTTACCCACTTAAAAACCCTCAGAAGTACTAAAGTTCAGAGAAGTAACTTGCTTGAGGTTACACAGCCAGTAAGTGGCAGCAGTGGGACTTAAACCCAGGTCTTTTAGAGCCAAGTTTAGTTTTCACGAGAAAAGTTTGCTCAACTCACATTGTTCTCTTTGTACAGGTAGGAGAGCACGGGTACCCGTTCTTTACTTCTGAACTTCGAACTTCCAACCACTGTTCCCAAGGTAACAGATTTAGGAACCACTATTTCAGGAGGGTAGGTACTGCATATCTAAAAGAAAACTCAATTTTTTAAATTCAATATATTTTTTACATTTTTCACTTGCTACCAACACGTTGGGATAGCAATCACTGAAGCACTAGCTGTCTGCTATTTATCGTCTAGAATCATCGATTCCTCAGAAATAGGAACAAAAATATCCTTGGTGTAATAGCTTTATGAAGTATGCCATTATTTTCTAGAAAGGAAGGTATGGAGCCATATAAGAACAAAATGTACTAACATTATAGGTAGAAATGCACACATAATCCTACTCAGAAATTCCTATACTTGCCTATCAAAACAATTTATATTGTAAATAAGAAAATTAAAACAAATGTATTCGAATATAAAGCAGACCAGTGTAAAAAGAGAACACATGATTTACTCTTTCTTAAAATACATACTAAGTTCCTAGCATACACATTTTGAGAGCCTTTAAAACACTAGTCTGGAGGTGGAAGCGTTGACATTTTAGGTGTGACATTTACTCTCTAAAAGACTGATATAAATTCTCAAATTTGTCAGCTTTTTGTGGTTACCAAAATATATATTTCTAACGATACAATGACAAAATATTATAACAGCACAGATCTGACATTGCCAAGTCAATTCTAACCACTCCTCTAAGTAAAGAACACCCTTAAACATTTGACAATGGATCAAACAAATAAAAATACGAATAGGCAAAGAAGTTCCCGGTACATCAGATTGAATGCTCTCTGTAACTAAAGTCAAAGTCCTCAGAATGCAGAACTGAAAGAGAAAAAGTTCTACACCCATCCTCTTACCTTGGACTTAAACTTGGGAGAAGTGGGTCATACAAAGAGAAATAAATGGTGCTTCCCTTTTAACTCAGAAAGCTACATGCACCCAAGGTGCCAACACAGATATTTCAGAGCTCATTTCAGGGAATTAGGCACATAATTGAACTGGAAGCAATTCACTTCATCTCTACCCAATCTTGTCAAGTGTAACCCTAACAAGCTACTTCACAAATGGCCCTGCTAAGTGACAGCTCATCAATCTTCCTATCTGGCAGCTATTTAAAATGGTGTTATCAGAAAACCATTACAACTACTGTCTTTTTATAATAAAAAGCTGTAAATAAAGACCCAGGGATACCACTTAAACACCAATAAATCTCTGTGCAGAAAAGTTATCATAGCAAGCCTGACTGCTTTCCATAGAAAGGCCTGGTGCAAGTCTGGTCCTTGACTGGTGCCTGGGAACTTGAATTTTGGAAGGGTTCCCACCATCCCTTAACTGATAAGAGTGACTACTTGTGCCTAAACTGTTTGTATGAACAATATGGTTTATTCCAAGCACTTCTTTCTTCTGGGCATATGAAACTTTGGTATACACTAGGCAGAGAGTGCCTACGTGACCAGCTGCTAATAAAAATCATGGAAACTGATTCTCCAATGAGCTTCCCAATAGATATTTTCCACACATTGTCACAACTTGTTGCTAAAGAAATTAAGCATGTCCTATGTGACTCCACTAGGAGAGAACTCTGACACTTGTGCCTGGTTTTCTCTGGAGTTTGCCCCTTTTCCCTTTGCTAATTTTTCTTTATATCTTTCCATTTTAATAAATCACAGCCACAAGTACAAGTATATGCTGAGTCCTGTGAGTCCTCCCAGTGAATCCCTAAACCTGAGGGATGGTCTTGGGAACCACCAACATATTCCCAGTCCTCTTTCTTAAGATCCATATTTGATATCCTTTGAATCACCTTGAACTCATTCTAAAACTGAAGACTGGCCTCTTCTCGTGCTCCTTATCTTGGTTAACATATCCATTACCCACTTGGTCACCTAAGCCAGAAACCAGAAAACCTGTGATGCATACTAAAATTCTCCCTCCTTCTCCAAGCTACATTAATCTGTCATCAGGTTCTTTCAATTGTACCACTTAAATATCTTTTAAAACCATCTCCTCCTCTCCACCCGTAGTCATTGACTTAATTCAGCTTCTCATATCATTCTTCTGCATTATTAGCAAACGAATTCTCCACACCACTACCAAAGTTATCTTTCTGAAATACAAACATACTCATATTACTTTCCAGCTGAAAATAGTCTAACAAATCCTGTCTTCAGGATAATGTTCAAATTCCTTAATTTGGCCATGAAGTCCTTCATGATCTCACTTCATTTCCTTACCTCTTTCCTTCTCTCCTTGTATAAATTAAGACAGATTTCCTTCTCCAGGCTATTCCCCAAAGCATCAGGTTATCTCTGACTTCCCAGTCTCAATTCCATCTTTCATCTATGCTCCCACAGCACTCTCTGCTTTAGACTATGAGAACTCAGTGTCTTGAGTGCAATAGATAATTAATAAATGCTTGTTGCATGGCTAAATTGAATGAAAAGGAGACATTACAAATGATTCTTTTTCCAAAACCTTATTTGCTAACATTCTTCTGTTTTGTTTTTGTTTTTTCTGTTTTGTTTTGTTGTTGTTGTTTTTTAGATTGTTTTTTTTCACTCAGTAATATGCGTGTAAACTTCCTCCATGTCTTTTCATGGCTTGATAGTTTTTTTTGTTTTTTTTTTGCACAAAATGATACTCCACTGTCTAGATGTACTACAGTTTATTTATCCACTCACCTACTGAAGTGGTTTGTTTGCTTCCAAGTTTTGGCAATTAGGACTAAAGATGGTATAAACATCCGCATACAGCTTTTTGTGTGGGCATAAATTTTCTGTTTTTTAAATGGGTTTTATCTTTAATGGTGAAAGAATTACGGATGTCCCTCTTTTTTCCTCCCACCGTTGGCTCCCTCCACCCTGCTCCGGCCCCACCCCAGGCCTTCCCCACACTATCATTTGTCCATGGGCTATGCATACATGCATATAAGTTCTGTTTTAATTAAATGAACCTAAAGGAAAACAACTGACAAAATTACCTCATAGTTTCTGTTGGCATCTATTATGGTCCAGTACCTGTTGGGTATTCCCATACGCCCAAAGTCTGATATTGGGTCAATCAGTTTCCATCCATTTTCCCTCATCTCTTTTGAGGATTTGGGATTATAAAAAAAAGCATACAGATCTTCAGGTAATGCTGCAGAAGGGAGATAAACATGAAAAAAAAGGAATAGTGAGTAAAACTTAAAGAACACCACATAATGCTAAAAAAGGCCACACTTCCTTTCTCCCAAAGGGAATGTTGTTCAAATAGCCCCAGAAAAGGACAATGATCTGTGTAAAAGTTTGCCTTTATGTAAGGAATAAGAACTAGAACATTGTTTTGGATTCTTCTCTTAAAAATGATTTAATTTTTTTCTGATACCAATACAAAGCAGGAACATTCTATCTGGATTCCTGTGAATTGCTGGATAATGGACTGAAATGAAGCTTCAGGGCTTCACATGTTTGGGAAGAGGTCCTTACAAAAGTTTGTGTGTTTTTTTAAATTGAGCTCCAGTATCCTAAAGGTACTGTTTGTTGTAACAAGTTGCAAAATATTAATCCTGTTCTTACAATCTACTTATCAGGCCCATACCTACTTCTGGCTGGTGAATGGCTATTTCTTCTTTTCTTCCAGTCAACCCCACTTCCTCCCTTCACAAGATGCAACATGTAACCAATAACTCATTTGACTAATTTATGTGGCAACAACTTTTCCAGAAATGGATGGAATCTGTCAGAGCCTTATAAAGAGTTGGGACAGCTGACAGGTAATCTCTGTCAATATATTACCGGCAAATTCTCAGAAATTATTCTGGGCAAAAGTTAAAAGAAAATGGGAAAGAAAGTGTAAGATCCTGAAAATTCCACAGATAAAAACAGGTACCTAATGGGTTAGCCACCTAGAGATTGGGCTGGGGGATGAGACAGTGAGGCTGGAGGAAGCAGAGATAACTGCATCATTAAGGACTCTGATAAACCGCCCTAGTCTTCTAGCTGTAACTGAAGGTAGGGGTGGGAATAGTGGGCCAAACATAAAGCTTACAGGACAATAGGAAACAGATTTTGCTCCAAAGCAGACTTCCTTCCTGAACTGATGAAAAATTCACAAGTTAATACTTAAAAGGAGGGAGGGAAAGAGAAGCCAATAACATCGATTAAATATCTACTATATATAGCAAGTACACAGTGAAATGCACAAATATATTTAAATCTCAAAACAACCCCTGTGGGGAGCTTAGACTATCACTGCTTTTACAGGTGAGGAGGCTATGTTCAGAGGTTATATAACTTGCCCAAATACCATGGAGCAGAACTCAGATCCAAATTCTGCCCTTGATCTCTCCAGTATGCCATTCTTGGAAAAAAATCTAAAATTATTTTAGATAAAAATACTATCACAATTACCTGGCTGAGAAAGCTTGAGAAGCGAAATATAAACCTCATGGCACACCATGTCAGAGTCTAAAACAAAGTGGGCTACCCGGAAGTTCTTGCAGCGGAGAATCAGGGGACAGCCCAGGCTAGTGATGGGCAACTTCTCCACAGTGGCAATGTGATGCAGTGCAATCTACAATACAGGAAAGAATCAAAATAAATTCACAGGCATGTATGCACTAGTTCTGGCATTATCAGTGTGCCTGACTCTCAATAATGGTGACAGAATAACTGAGGTGTGTTCACATTTACAGCCATCAATCATCCCTTGTGAGGCAAAACTAGGTTTCTCTCAAACAGAAGTAAATAGCGGTAAAGCAATGAGAAGAAAATTGCAGTGTTATAAAACTTACCCTGCCTTAGGGATATAAGGCTACCAGGTTTGTGGGGCAATTAGGTAAACTGACTCAATAAAGGTGGCTTCTAGCATGCTATGGTGACATGTACAATCATAGTAGAATAATTGTCACAGAGAAAAATAGAATTTTCTTTTGTTCTACCAAATGACTAATTAAAATTAGTAACTAGTATTGTGCTTTATTTCTCACAAGGTCATCCATGACCATTAACTATTTAATCCCTGTAATAACCCTTCGAGGTATAAACATTCCATTTCAGGAATGAAGAAACCAAAGCTCTGAGAAGTGAATTCCTCATTAGAGGTCACACAACCAAGAAGTGGCACAAACAGGATTTGAACCATGGAAGTCTAACTCCATATCCAGGGTTTTTTAATCTAAGAATTCTAAAAGCTAGTCCCGGAATTGGGATTTATCAAGATGTTCTCTCTTCACATTTTAGACTCTAGTGACAGTAAAGCAAAGAATGAGATGGGAGAAAACTGACCTATGTAACTTAAGAAATGAGTAGAGACTATGAGACAAATGAATAAAGGAAATATACATAAGCACTATACTATAGTTAATAAAGTTGTTTCCCATAGGTGTACAGATTAACAATTCTGATTTTTTTAAAGGATGATTCAGTCTTTAGTTGCATCACTCCTGCCCATGCTGACGCTAGCAAAAAACAAATGCGTGGAAAGTAAACTGGTAAAAAGAAATTGTATACAAATAATACAATTCTTGCCTTACAGATTCAAAAAGCCATGGAATCATAGCTTTACATGTTAGTCTTTGATGTTCTCCCCCTAGCTGTGTCTCTAATGTTTCCTGCAACTAGAACCTGGATATAATCTTTTCGTTCTTTGGATTCCGTCTTCTTCCTGGAATCTGATCATCATTGTCTTTTCTTTTCCTCTACCCTGCACCACTTTTTTGGTTAAATAAGCCTCTTTTGATATGTAGAAATAATTAACATAAGTTCTCCCTTCCAGATCTAGTCACCTGGGTTTGAAATAATACCTAGTAGGAACACATCTAGGGAAACGTGTGTTGTCTATAAATACAGGTTAGAAAGGAGAAAGGCTCATGGCACAGTACTAAAGAAATGTTTCATAAACTGTTAGAACTGGAAGAATCCCTACTAATTATATAATCTAACCACCTCATTTTACAGGTGAAGAAATGAGTGACACTCAGGTAAGGGTCACTTACCTGAGGGCATATAGCCAGTTAGTGCATAGCTGAGTCGAGCTAGAACCAGGTCTCCTGATTCCTCTTTTGACATTCCTTTCATCACACCAAAGGGAGCAAGTACAATACCAAATGGGAAAAACTCATGTTGCTTTAAAAAGGAAGTATTAAAATATAGTTGACCCTTGAGCAATGGGTTTGAACTGTGCAGGTCCACTTATATGCATAATTTTTTCTAATAAATATACAGTTGGCCCTCTGTTTCCACAGGTTTTGTATCCACAGATTCAACCAACTGCAAATCACAAACAATATTTTCAATCCATGGTTGGAAATCCACAAATGTGGAGGGCCAACTGTATGACTAAGTCCTTTATATAAAATGGCATGCATCAATTGATTTTGGTATCTGCAGGGGATTCTGGAACCAGTCACTCACAAATACAAAAGGATGGCTGTAGTTAAGTTTTTGGGGAGTCAAAAATTATATGAAGATTTTAGACTGCACAGGCGTTGGTACCCCTTAATCCCCACATTCAAGTATCAACTGTATTTATTTCATATGTATATTCAGTTTAATTCATTTTATATTTATTTAATAGTATTTATCATATGCCAGGCACTATTTAAGCAATTACAACATTAACATTTTTATTTTTATAACAAGGTTATTATTACTATCCCTATTTTACAGATGATGGAAGTGAGACACAGAGAAGTTAAATAATTTGCCCAAGGTTATAAAGGTAGTAAATGCTGAATCTGGGATTGCAACTTAAACAGACTGGCTCTAGAGCCTATGATCTTAATCACTATGCTATGCTGTATACCAGAAGCATGTTGTACTTCTTATAAAGCTTTCCAAGCATAAATCCGACTAATGATTAAATTAAGATTAAATGATGCTACTTTAGGATGAGGATTAAATTAAGATTAAATGATGCTACTTTAGGATGAGGAAAGCATAAAGTAATATTAGGGATGCTAAGCTAATAAGAAAACATTCTTTAAAAAATAGAAAACATTGTGTAAAAGTGTAACAGTAAACACACACACAGGGCACACATCTTGTCTTAAGTCAGAGAGATGGTCTAAATAAATCATTGATAGCCAAGGTGTAGTCTACGGGCCATCAGCATCACCATCAGGTGCTTTTTAGAAATTTAAAGTCTTAGGTCTGAGATTTTTAATTTTTTATAAGCTCCCAGGTGAAACGGATACTGCTAGTTATCCACATTTTATGAGTAGCAAGGCTTTCAATTACTTCTAAGTAAGGATACTTATCAACTAGACTCAGAAAATGAGCAGAGATTACTCTATTTAAAATTATTGAGGAAAACTCCCATGCAGTTTAAAATGACTAAGATGGCCTTGGCCAGGTGGCTCAGTTGGTTGGAGCATTGTCCCATACACCAAAAGGTTGTGGGTCAGGGCACTTACCTAGGGTGCAGGTTTGATCCACCCTCGGGGCAGGGCATGCGTGGGAGGCAACCAATTGATGTTTCTCTCTCACATCAATGTTTCATTCTTTCTCTCTTCCCTTCCTCTCTTTAAAAATCAATAAACATATCCTTGGGTGAGGAAATAAATAAATAAATAAATAAATAAATAAATAAATAAATAAATAAAATGATTAAGATGACTATATTTAGTAACTTGAGGGGAGAGGAGTCACATGACTCAAGCCATGAAAGACCCCTAGAATAGGTTCTTTGAAGAAAAAGTTTTACAGCAATTTAACTGTTACTTGAAATTTTAAGAAACTATCATATTAGAAAGCATATACATACAACGTGTCAAGACCCTTTGAAACTTCTTCTCATGAACATACCCATGTTTCCTTCCTGGATGCACCAGAAGCCTCCACATAGATCAGGTGAGTTGCAGTAAGATATAGAATCCCATTAGCTGGTTTCTTGTCCATATAACGGTCCAGTAATGTCACATTTTCTACCTGTTATTTGGGGGAGGGGGAGACTGATTAAATTATCAACTCAACACCTGTGAATAAAGTGAGATAATTCAAAGCTGGATAAAAGCTGTTAATCTGTTAAAGAACTTCTTTGAGGCTTTCTAATTCCTGCCAAGGTGTCAAACTAATATGATGTATGTTTCCTTTTCCGAAATCAGCCCTAGAGAAACTATAAAAGTGAGAAGGAAACATGTATTCTAGGAAGGATTAACATTCTACATGATGTCACCACGATGGGGTAGGTGTGCAAGGAAGATAAATAGGACATAAAACCCGTTGAGATACTTATCTTGTTGGAGGGAAGTTACAGTTATTGCATATGTAAAATATCAATAGTTGTAAATAACATGAGATTAGGTCTTAAGGTAAAGGGAAAGAAAATATATAACCTTCCACAAGCAGGAGAAAACTTGATCTATCCAACGGAAAGCAGGAAATGAAAACAACAAAAAAGAGAGTGTCATAAATGGATAGTATAAAAGAAAATGCCAGGAAAAAATCCCAATGTAAGAGTAATTACAACAAATGTACATAAATTAAATTTACTGATTAAAAGACAGGCTCATATTTTTGGAATATTTGTTCTAATTCTGTAAAATATGCCATTGGTTTCTGGACAGGAATTGCATTGAATCTATACATTGCTTTGGGTAGTACGGACATTTTAATGATGTTAATTCTGCCTATTCATGAACATGGTATATTCTTCTAATTATTTGTATCTTCAATTTCTTTCTTCAATGCCTTTTCTGAGTACAAGTCTTTTACCTCCTTGGTTAAATTTATTCCTAGGCATATTATTCTCTTTGAAGTAATTATGAATGGGATTGTTTTTTAAGTTTCCCTTTCTGAGAGTTCATTATTGGTGTATAAAAATGCAACTGATTTCTGGATATTTATTATGTATCCTGCTACTTCACTGAATTCATTTATCAGTTCTAGCATTTTTTCTGGTGGAATCTTTAAGGTTCTCTATAATGAGTTTTACTTCTTCCTTTCCAATTTGGATGCCTTTTATTTCTTCTTCTTTTCTGATTACTGTGGCTAAGACTTCCAGTACTATGCTGAGTAAGAGTAGTGAAAGTGAGCATCCTTGTCTTGTTCCTGATCTTAAGAGGAATGCTGGCTGTGGGTTTGTCCTGTATGGCCTTTATTATGTGAAGGTATGTTCCCTCTATTCCCACTTTGCTGACAGTTTTTATCATAAATTCATTCTGGATATTATCAAATGCTTTTCTGCATCTAGTGATACGAAACACAAAAGACCTGAATAGCAACAATGATCTTGAGAAAGAAGAACGAAGTTTGAAGAATCATGCTACCTGATATCAAACTATACTACAAGGTCATAGTAATCAAGATAGAATAGTACTAGCATAAGAACAAGCATATAGATCAACTGAGGAGAATAGAGAGCCCAGAAATAAACCCACACCTTTATGGTCAATTAATTGACAAAAAAGGCAAAAACATACAATGGGCTAAACATATTCTATTCAATAAATGGTGTTGGGAAAATTGGAGAGATACATGCAAAAAAATGAAACAAGGTCATCTTCTTACACAGCACACAAAAATAAACTCTAAATGAATTAAATACAAACATTAGACTTGAAACCATAAAAATCCTAGAAGAAAAAATAGGCAGTAAAATCTCAGACAATATTTCTCACAGCAATATTTTTTTCTGATAGATCTCCTTGGGCAAGGGAAAAAAAGAAAAAAAGAAACAATTGGGGCAATATCAACTAAAAAATTTTTGCACATCAAAGGAAATGATAAACAAAATGAAAAGATATCCCACTGAATGGGAGAACATATTCACCAATGACACATCTGATAAGGGGTTAATATCCAAAATTTATAAAGAACTTATAAAACTCAACACCAAAAAAACAAGCGATACAATTAAAAAATGGGAAAAGGACCTGAATAGATACTTCTCCAAAGAGAACATACAGATGGCCAACAGACATATGAAAAGACGCTGAGTGTCACTAATCATCAGATAAATGTAAATTAAAACCACAATGAGATATCACCTCACACCTGTCAGAAGGGCTATCGTCAATAAATCAACAAAAAGTGCTGGTGAAGATGTGAAAAAAAGGGAACCCTTGTGCACTGCTGGTGGGAATGCAGATTGGTACAGGCATTGCCGACAGCAATATGAAGCTACCTCAAAAAATTAAAAATGGAACTGCCTTATGACCCAGAAATTCCACTTCTGAGAATTTGTCTGAAGAAACATGAAACGCTAATTCAAAAGAATATATGCACCCTTATGTTCAATGCAGTGTTATTTACAATGTCTAAGATTTGAGAGCAGTAGATGAGTAGACAAAACAGCTATGGTACATTTATTTAATGGAATACTACTTGGCCATAAAAAGGAAGAAAACTTCACCCTTGCCAAGAGCAAGGATGGGCCTAGAAAACATTACACTAAGTAAAATAAGCCAGTGAGAAAAGACAAGCACCATATAATTTCACTCATATGTGGAATTTAATGAACAAACTGAAATAATGAGCAGAACAGAGACAGACTCATAGATAAAGAGCAGGCAGACAACTCTAGTGGAGGGAGGTGTTGGAGGGGTGGAGGCGTTGAGCAAAAAAGAAAAAAAAAAAAGAGAAAGAACTCGTAGACATGGACAAAGTGTGGTGATTGTGGGAGGATGGGTGGGCAAAGGTGAAAGGGGGTATAGGGAGAATAAATGGTGATGGAAAAAATGAAGTAAAATAAAATAAAATAAATATAATAAAATAAAACTTACTAACTACAAAAAAAAAAAAAAAGACAGACTTACAGACTGGATTAAAACAAAAGACTCAACAATGTTCAGTCTAGAAGCAATACACTTAAAATCAAGAGATGTAAACAAGTTGAAAATAAATGGTAAGCCCGGATGGTGTGGCTCAGCTGTTGAACATCGAACTATGATCCAGGAGATTGAAGTTTGATTCCCGGTCAGGGCACATGCCCAGTTTGCGGGCTTGATCCTCAGCAGGGACTGTGCAGGAGGCAGCTGATCAATGACTCTCTCATCATTGATGTTTCTCTCTCTCTTTCCCTCTCCCTTCCTCTCTCTGAAATAAAGAAAAACATATTTTTTAAAAAATAAATAAATGGTAGAAAAGATATACTAGGCAAATATGAACCAAAACACAGGTTAAGTAGCATTCTCAGTATCTGACAAAATATAATTAAATGACAAAGAACAACAGGACAAGAACATATATGCATATTACAATACAGTTTCAAAATATATCTTGCTTGATGTATTTGCCTATAACAAAACTTCAGAGAAAAAATGAATATTTGTATATTTTAACACTCTAGTTAGGAACTGATAGATCGAGATACAGAAACAAAAACAAAAAAAATATATAGATATAGAACACTTGCACAGTACAACTAAAAAGCTCAAGCTATTAGATATACAGAGTAGATCTCTATATCCAACAAAAAGAGAACATATACTCGCTCAAGACAACAAACAGAACACTTCCAAAACAATATGATGATGGCTATAAAGAAAGCCTCAATAAAATTCAAAAGCTCAATATCACAAGTTGTTCAGCCATTAGAAATTACTAACAAAATAATAGCTAACATTTAGCATACATTTTGAAACAAACTAGTATTATTATTAAATTAAGTATGAGTTAAAGGAAATATAAATAAAATTAAGAACAATTTAAAAGTGAAAATGAAATCATAAATAAAATTTTAAATTATTTAAAAGTGAAAGAATAAAAACACAACAAGTAAAAATCTGTGGTACACAGCTAAAGCAGAAATAAAAAAGAAACGTATAGCTTTAAGTACACTTATAATAAAACAATAAAGGTTAAAAATAAACTGGTTAAGTATTCAATGCAAAAGGACATAGAAACAAGGAAGATGCAAAGAGCAAAAGAGCAAAAGACAAAAGGACAATGCAAAGAGCAAAAGGACATAGAAACAAGGAAGATGAACAGAAATTAATAGAGAAACCTCCCACACACATACGCACAAAATAATAACAGTAGAAAAGATGAACAAAATTAGAATTTGATTTTTTAAAAAGGTAACAGGATAAATTTATGACAGGACTAGTCGGGGAAAAAGGCAAATAAACAAAGTACAAAATGAAACGGAAAAATGTAACAAAAATTTTAAATAAACAATTTGCTAATAAGTTGAAAAAATGTTCACGAAGCGAAAAAATTCAAAGTAAAGTATAAAATGGCAATGATAGTTGAAGATGATCCCTACCAAAAAACCCAGATGATTTTATAGGGGAATTCTAAGAAACTTAGAAAAGCAGTTAATGACTACCTTATCCAATTTTTCCCACTAATTAGAGAAAAAAAAGACAGTCTATTTTATGAGAATAGTGTATACTTGAATCTAAAACCAAAAAAGATAGCTATAAAAAGCAAACTTTAGACCCATTTCACTTATGAAAGGTAGATGCAAAAATCCAAATAAAAATTATTTAATAAATCAGGAGTACATTTTATTTATTTTTTATTTTTCAATTACAGTTTACATTCAATGTTATTTTGTATTAGTTTCAGGCGTACAGCATGGCAGTTAGACAATCATATACTATAAAAGTGTTTCCCCTGATATTTCCAGTACCTACCTGGCACCATACATAGGCATCGCAATATTATTGACTATATTCCCAATGCTGTACTTTACATCATCATGACTATTTTCTACTACTACTTTGTACTTTTTAATCATTCACCTTTCACCTAGTCCCCCAACCCCTCTCCCCTCTAGCAACCAACAGTCTGTTCTTTGTGTCTAAGAGTCTGTTTCAGTTGTATTTGTTCATATTGTTCTTATTCCCAGATATAAATGAAGTCATATGGTATTTGTCTTCCTCCGACTGACTTATTTCATTTTGCATAATACCCTCCAGGTTCATTCCAGAAGTGGAATTACTGGGTGATAAGGCAATTCCATTTTCAATTTTTTGAGGAAC